CCGCGCGTGGCGCTGGACGTCGGCCACGAGACCCGGTGGGCCGCACGCGAGTACGCACACCTTCTTCCCCAGGAACCGCTCGTGGTTGATGACCTCGTCCAGAATCGGCTTGCCACGGACGTAGTGTACGGTCTCGCCCGTGCTGCTGAGGAGGCTGCTGGACTCGTCGGCCGCCGTGCTGTAGAGCTTGCACACAATATCATGCGGCAGCGGGAACATGAGGCGGTCGGCGCTCAAGAGATCCGCCGGCGCGCGTACGACCCAGTGCATTTCCAAGTTGGCGCGGTGCGTCTCACCCCACTTGTCGCGGCACTGGTTCATCACGCTCAGCATCGGCGTGACACCAATACCGCCGCAGACCATGACCACGTGGTCGTACCGGTCGAGGTCGACGGCCGGCTTGCCGTACGGCCCACCGACAAGCACGGTCAGCGTCGTCGCATCGGCCGCGGCGTGGCACACCTTGTCGACAAACGACCCTTTCTGGAGCGCCTTCATGCAGAAGCCGATCGAATCTTGGTCGGGCGACACGATTGCTGAGAACGGATGCCACTCGGTGGCCGAGATGGACGGGACGCAGACGTAGAAGAAGGCGCACGGGTTCATCGAGGCCGCCCAGTGCTTGGTCTTTGTCGTCGACGGCAACACAAGCGTGACCGTGTCGGGCGCGCTCACGTCGACGGTAGCCTCGAACCGGTTGAAGAAGGCACGGAGACGGCCGAGAGCGCTGAGGCCGTAAATGACAAGCGGGAAGATCATGCCATAGACCACCGCCGTGCTGTGCAGCATGGCCAAGACGATGCCAGCAAGCGCCGCGACACGGTGGAAGTAGAGGAAGGCTTCGTACCAGCGCCGACGGATCGGCTCGAACGCGATGAGCCCCATGGACGCGAACGCGAGGAAGGCGAGGAAGCCGTAGAGCGGCGTCACGCCCTGCGTCCCGTACACGTTAGCGTTGGTGACGCCACTGGCGTTGGCGGTAAGGACCAAGTGCAGCGTGGCGTAGACGACGCACGAGCGGCCGAGCGCCCGATGGAATTTGAGAATGCGCTCGTGCGAGATGCCAAAGACGACCTCCCAGTGCTTGCCGCGCGCGACGGGCAAGAGCAAGAGCATCATGTCGACCAGAGCCAAGTGCCCCGAGATGAGCGCCAGCGCGCGGCCGAGCGACGCGTCCGCAAACTGTGCCCGCACCGAGAGACCCACTGCGATCAGCGTCGCCACGTACACAGCAAGAACGACGAGCTCACCGAGTTTGAGGTCGGCGAGCGACTGCTGGAGGCCGGCAAAGAGGTGCCGCGACGTTGGCGGTGCACAGAGCGTCTTTTGGTTGATGGCGCGCCACTCCCCAGTGTACGTCGCCACGAGGCCAAGAAGGACCATGGTGGCGAACCCCGCCGCGACGATCTGGGCCGTATACGAGGTGACGACGGTCGACATGGTTGCGAGCACCTGGGCCGGGCCCGTCGACGACGAGAGCACGATTCGCGTAGCACCGGCAGCGTCATGGTACGACGGGAACGCCGATGCGCCGTGGGCCCAAAGGAGGTTGGCTGCGCTGTTGTCAGCGAGGGCAACATCGAGTGCCGACGGCGACGTTAGCGGCCGCTGAAAGGTGAACGTGGCGACACCGTTGGTGACACCCGAGCGCACGACCGAGAGGGACGACTGGTCGGCTTGTAGGACTATCGATGCGGCCGAGTACCCGCGCAGTTCGTAGAGCCGGACGGTGGGCGCGCCGGACCCGATCTCCATAACAACGGCGTTCGAGACGGGGCTGCTCACCATGCGCGAGGAGGACGCGAGACCAATCGACACCCATCGCGCGTTGGCGACGGCGGCCGTGACCTGAAAGCAAACGTTGGCGCCTTGGACGAGGCTGCGCACCGACATGTCGGGGCCGAGGGCGACCGACGGGGCATTGGGAAACGCGGCCGAGTCGCAGGCCGCGAGCGCCGTCGAGACGAGACTGGCGACGCCGAAGACGAGTTTGTTGGTTGTGACCATGGGAAAAGATAAAGTGAGTGCCCAACAAGTCGTCACGTTGCTTGGAATTCGACGGATGGATATAGAAGCAGTGCACAGGTGGTCGGCGCTTTGACAATTTGACTTTATTTGGGTCCCCATCTGCACACCACTAGTCACCCCGTCGCTGAAGCTGTCGCTAGTTGTCGTGTCGCAATGGTACCTCCGACTCGCCTCTACGAGACGCTGCCTTGCTGTTCAGTGCCCACACGCCACGTAGCGAACCGCACTACTGGCTGCTCGCCGCCCATAGAAGGTTGAATGGAGCTTATATACCATCGCTAGCGTTATCGGACGACTTCAACCTTCCTTAGTCACGTGATGGCAGCGATGACAAGGTGTCCATCGGTTCTGGACATGGTGGATCAAGGCGGTGATCACGAGGTAATTTGAAGCCATTTGATTGGTGCATTTTTGGCTGCGGAACATTCAAGATCCGGTAGATCTGGATTGGATCTTTCAAAACAAATAGATAATTTTCGTGCGTTGTACGAGTGTTCCGAGATCACGCGCTTCTCTCACTTGAAAAATGGAGCTTTCGATACGGCTCTCTTGGAGCTACCGAGCAGCGAGGTGCAGTCAAGCCACGAGTAAACTCGGACTGTTTTTGCATCGATTTAGTTTATGTATTTTCTTGGCAAAACCAATCCTGGCTTTAGCCACAGACGTCGATGAGCTCGCGTTGCCGTCACCTTCAAGGGTCTTATCGACTTGCCGGTATATGCAAAAACCAAAGTCGCTTCCTGCATGCTCTTCTCACCCAGAGCAGATTGCTGCCAAGCTGGGTTGCTGTGGATGAGTTGAGCTTGTACCAGGGTATCCGTGGGTATCCGTATCCGAATGTATCCGGATGAGTGTTCTTGTAACGAGAAAATGCGATCTTTCAGATGAAACGGCACATGTTCTTCAATCGCATACGATCGAAAAGCCGATGCCAGCGCTGTCGGCCCGCGACCGCGCGATCCTCGAGTTCGCATGCTGCACCTTCTACCTCCAGACCAAGCCCGGGACCGACGAGCCAGCAGCGCAGCCAGCGGCGCAGCTCGAGATGCTGCCACCATCGGGCATGGCTGACGCCGCCGACGACGGTGGCTACGACGACGACTTTGGCCTGGAAGCGGACGACACCACGACTACGGTGCCAACAAGCACGCACGACGACGCGCCGACCAACTCGCTGGACGTCGACGCCGAGACGCCGCCCGAAGCGCCTCCGTCCGTGCTCGCGGAGGCCCTCATGGAGATGGCAGGCACGTTGCTGTACGCAGACCCTGGTTCGATCGTGGTTCGGGAGCACTTGATTGCATGTACTGCAGCACGCCCACGATCGAGGCTCATGCGCCGTCCTAGCGCTTGCCCACCTCGCGTTCAAGACGACGGCCCGCGGCCTGCGCCCGACAAACGACTGCGAGACGATCGTGCGTTTCTGGTGCAACTGTGTTTCTATGGGGCTCCGAGGCGAGTACGACGACATGGGTGCGTGGTCGACTAACTGGCTCTGGGTCCTTCGGTGCGCCGACCTCCTCCTCCTCAACGTCGCGTCCTTGGGCCTCGAGAGCGCGGCGTGGCGCACCAGCATCGTGCGCGCGCTGGACGGTATTTCGCAAGCCTGCCTCGGCACGCAGGACAAGGTCATTGGCAAGGCCATCTTTGATTGGGTCATGGAGCTCGCCCAAGCCTTGTGACTGCTCACTCTCGTATTACACAATGGCATGGGACATGGCGGCAAGCTTGGCCGAGTGGGCATCGCGCCAACACAGTACCTTAACGTTATCATTATTTGCATCCAGCGCTACGGTATCGTCAACATTAGCACCGAGCCATCGCCTCTACATGGCTTGCCAACGGACGCCAGTCGCCTTGCGGTGAGCTTGCGGTGTGGTGGTCGTCGTGCAGGGACGGCTTGCCGCCAATTCCAACGCCCAAAACGGGATATCCGGATGTAGCATTCCACCCTCCGGATACTGATGCATGAAATTCCCCAGCTCAGTACGAGCAAGGCAACTGTACTTATGGCGTGCGTGCCACGCTCCAAGTGTACACACCCACGACGAACCTACACTGTACTGTAGTTTGCTGCGTCTGAAATGAGCTCTACTGGTCTAGCCCAGGCTGGGTCTAGCCCCACTTGGCTCGTGCCATAGAATTCCCTTGGCTCGAATCAGAGGCTACCCGTCGACCCCCCGACGCTGCCCACTCACTAGTCAGACCGTCCTGGCGCCAGGTCGCCCGTTGTTCCGTCGCAGCAGCAGGAGCGAACCAGGCTCAAGCTGCGCGACTGATCTGCGCTCTGATACGCGTGCACATCTGCACGGGACAGTCGTCTCCGCCAAAATCTCCGTCTTTACGATGAGCCAACGCGTCCAACACACCAGATCGTACTTACGTCGAAATAAGATCTTGTCGGCTCGTGAGGGCGCGATGGCTTCGTTGCCACAGCACCATTGCGCTTGGTCATCGGTGAACGTTTTAAGGGAATTTGCGACCGAGATGCCGGATACAGGCCACTTGTCCGGATGCGTGGCGTATAGATCGCGCGCGTGTAACACCACCTGGGCGCGGCTCGAAGGCGCTGGCTTCCAGCATCATTCTCAGACGATGCAGCTGGTCCGCGTCTTCGCCGGCCTCGGGCTGCTCACGACGGCAACGGCCGCCGACAGCGCACCGACCTGTCGCTTCGCGCTCAACGTGTCTCCGGCCGCGCTCAAGCTGCTCGGCGGCAGCGGCAACGCCACGACGCCGGCCAACAGCACGCTCGTAATCCCGAGCATCTCGGTCGCGCCGGGCCAGAAGGACGGGACGGCGACGCCTGTGCCCACGCCCAAGGACGAGAAGAGCAAGACGCCGAGCACGACAGCGCCGGGCCTTCGCAAGTTGCAGATTAAGCCGCCAGTGGAGCCCGACACGACGTCGACGACAGCGCCGACGACCGCACCCACAACGCGAGCACCGACCGTCGCACCGACGCCGCTCCCGACCGACAAGAAGACCACTGAGCCGACGCTGGCGCCCACAGATCCATCGACCAAGTCGCCGACGCCCACGACCGTCAAGCCATCGTCAGGCAGCGGAAGTGGCAAGACACCGACGACAACGACGTCGTTGCCACCCGGTGTGACGTCGACGCCGACACCGACACCGACGCCGTCCAACTCGACCAACGTCATCAACGTCCCGGCGCCGACCGTCGTCACGACCTTTGACATCATTCCATGCGACGCGACGTTCTACAAGTTCTGGAAGACCAAGGGTCTCAGCTGCGGCGGCGTCGACCTCGACGTGTCCAAGGCCATGGAGCAAGCGTGCAGCGTCTACTCGGGCGCCATCTCGATCGGGACCGCCGGCTTCCCCGCGTGCTTCTCGTCGTGCTTTATTCCTGGCTGCGAGAAAGGCAAGTGGGACTATACCGTGATGGACGGTCTCTCGTCGTCGATCTACGCCGGCGTCAACTTTCTCGAGGCGGCGTCGCTCTCCAAGGCGTCGACGTCAGCGACAGCGTCGCTCTTCCCGACGCTCGCGACCAAATTCAAAACGTCCTTCTCGTGCACCTCGTACGACGTGTGCCAGTGCCCCGCGGCCAACATTGGCGGCGCCGGCAATAGCACGAGCTCGACCACCGGCAGCCAAAAGCGCGTCGACACGTGGAGCGACGGGACGAAGAAGACGACCCTCGACTACGTCGGCACGGTCACGTCCAGCGTGAGTGCGACCGTCACGTACACGGCGATCGCGACGACGACCACCATGATGATTGCGAGCTCGGTCGGCGCCGTCGGGTCGTCGGCCACCGCGGCCGCCGCTGGCATTTCGACCGGTGGGTCTGTCGGCATGGCCAGCGCCACGATCGACATTGCGCAGTTCGCCGTGTGCATGAGCCAGCTCAGCTTGCCAGGTGCGTCGCGGCCGTTGCGCGCCGTCGGCGAGCAACTGAGCTTTAGCGTCTTCAACTGGTTTACGTTTGGGAACGTGCCGACGACGACGGCCGCGGTGGCCGCCAACCGCCGCCTCGTCGAAGCGTACACGGGCCAGCGCTCGGAAGAGACGGGCGGCATGTTCCAGTACACGACGCGCCTCGGCATCCGCCCCGAGATGCTCTTCTACGTGACGCTCGCCGGCATTGCGTCCGTGATTGGCGGCATCGTGATCCTCCTCGCGCTCGTGCTCGTGCTCGGCCCGCTCTGCGTCAAGGACAAGCAGGCGTTCATGTCCAACTGCTACGACCGCGCGATCGGGCTCATCATGCTCGTGACCATCATCTCGCAGTACGCGCTCGGCGTCGTGTGCATGTTTCAGATTTGCCTCTGCCTCAAGTCCAAGACCGGCGGCTTCTCCAAGGAGCTCGTGTTTGCTATCTTGACGCTGCTCGTGCTCGCGATCGGCATCATGGGCTACGGTGTCTACGTCGTCAAGAAGTACCAGAACGACATCCAGGACATTGGCACGGCCCAGCACCTCGAGAAGACCGTCCACAAGCGCTTTGGGTGCCTCTACGACGAGTACGACTTTGCGAACCGGTACTTCTTCACGGCCAAGATGGGCCTCGCCCTCCTCTCGGGCATGATTGCCGGTACATTTGCGGTCTCGGGTCAGTCGCAGCTCGTGATGCTCATCGTCCTCCACGTCGGCTTCTTTCTCCTGCTGAGCGTGCGCCGGCCGCACTATGCGCCGTTCGTTCAAAACACCACCGTCGTCATCACGGTCGTCAAGGTCATTACCTTTGGCTTGAGCTTCCTCCTGCTCAAGGTCGCGACCGCCGGCGCGCCCGACGACATCAAAGATGGCATCTCGTACGGCATCCTCGCGCTGCAGCTCGGCGTGCTCCTCTGCCTCCTCGCGCGCCAGATCTACATCTTCTACAAGACGCACCAGCTCAAGAAGGAGCTCGCAGCCTCCAACGACACGATGCGCCACGAAGATCTGTACGCGCTGGATGCGATCACGGCGCCCGGCGCGTATGCGATGGCGACCAACAGCACCAACCACCGCGACACGAGCCAGAAGCAGCGCGAGTGGACGAGCGAGAGCCACCGCATGAGCGACGACAAGCCGCGCTTGCCCCTCAAGACCACCAACCACAACCACAACGGCAAGCTGAAAACCCTCCATTCGGCCAACCAGCAACCACACAATGGGCAGTGGAAGGAGGACGAGTACGACCCGCGCGAGTACGCCATTTGAGCAAATATAATAATTGTATTGACTGTCTTTTCTTCCACCATTTTTGTCTTTTCCTCCAACATTTTTGTCAATACCTGCGATCTTCTAGACTTTACGTACTAGTACCTCGTACCTCTGCAGACACTGCTTGCACAGTGTGAGGAAGGATCTCCGATCTCCCAGGTTGAGGGTCGGTGCTCTGGTGAATGAAAATATGTGGACAGCGCAAAGTTCAGTGGAAGATTTGACGAGGATACGCGATCACTCGAGTGGCAAGCAGCGAGCACCAATGCGGCGCTCATATAGAACGACAGGGCAGGGACGTACGGACACTGCGCATGTCCCAGGACGCCAAAGCTTCTCGTGTTTGCCCTTCCAGCGCGTTTCGAACAACAGTTTAAAATACACTGCAAGCTGCATATCCTGCATGTGAGCCTCCAGCGACCACGAGTGCACTACATGTTGATGCGCTAGCCAGCGTTGTACGGCGTAGAGGTCACCTTGGGCGCCGTGACTCCGTGACTTGCACAGAACGCGTGCCGGCGCTTGGGACCGACGACCAGACTTGGCAGCACCTCCTCCAACTCGTCGTCTCCTATTCAACTTGTTTTTTGTATGAAGAGTGCCGTACACATCGCGTGCACGACCGAAATGGTCGCGTGCGATACGGCTGCGCGGGATCTTGTGTCAAAAAGCAAATAGCAACGGCGATGGCAGGCGCGATCTCGATCCTCAAGTCCGCGAGTCTCTTGCTCGTCGGCGCCTTCCTCGCGTACGCAACCAGATCTTATTGCGCGCGTCCATTTACGCCAGGTGCCAAGTAGGTACAAGGCCATTGTGCTCGCTGCAGCCAACGTCGACCCGATCTTCTTCGTCCCGCTCTTCGTCGTGCTCGTTGTCGTCGGCCTCGTCCAGAGCCTCCCGGTGGCCGTGCACGCGATGCGAGATGCGTACAAGCCCGTGCCTCTCCGGCGGTCGGTCGTGCGCCTCGCACCCTACCGCATCGTGTAGCGCTCCGATAACGCAAAATGTATTTATTCCGTCCACCATCACATTGGCTCATGTCGATGTGAACGCTGTCGTTTCAGCATTTCGTCAGAGTGGACTTGTGTCCTATCGAAGTGCAAATATAAACTTATCGTAATACATATATTTGTTTGACGACAGTGAGCCAGAAACGGCTTTCAACCGCGAAGCGAGCCATTGTTGCATTTGACTGGGATGCTCGGTGTGGCGCGTGCACTCCTCCGTAGTCTCTTTGTTGTCGGTGTCATCGCGTCTGTCATGTACATCACGACGTCTCTCAAGAGCTAAGCCGCATTTGTCCTAGGTTGGCGACGGTGCACGGCCTCGCCGAGGCCATCGACATCATCTTCTGCCTCCCGTTTCTTATCTACGGAGCCACACTGGGCCTCTTTGAAGGTATTCCGCTGTTGTTAGCGACGCGCCACGACGCTGCATCGACCCCGTCACTGCCCGTCGTATGGCAGTGCTAGACGTCATATCTCAAAGACAGTGTAATTCGCTTAGCTGTTGCTCATACTAGAGAAGCGTAGAGACGCGATCAAAGATCTGGAGCACAATCGCCCTGTTGCACGTGTAGAGGTGCGCGCGGGTGCCCTCGTCCGAGCCCATGTCGAGGCAGAAACCCGCGTGCGTGAGGTGCTTGAGCTGCTTGGTGCCGGGATCGTAGCGCCACTTTTGGTTCAAGTTGTTGCT